ACTTTAAATTACTGTTCCTCAACTTTATTTCACTTTACATTTTTTGCCCTCACTGATAATTGCAGATAATGGATGGAGAGGTAATTACAAATCTAAGGACAGCAGCAGCCTCAGCAGTGGCTACAAAGGTATGATAATAATAAACAAATGGAGATGTGATGTAAAATATAATGAAAAACATTTAAATTTCAAGGGCAAATTGCAGAGTCCTTCCAATAGGCCTATTATTTTTTTTTCTCTGATATGATATTTGAAATTAATTATTCAATTACAGTTGCATTTTGATCTTCTCTCCTCCTCCTGGTTTATCATTCATGAATCCACAGAATCCACTATAAATTGCAGCTGTTATTATTATAATTTTAAAAAAATTAATAATGAAAATAGTTTTGGCTAAAAGAGAATTCAGTCACATTTCATTGCTTTGCTTGTTGGGAATATACTAGCAAGAAAATTAGATCATGATTTTTTTCTAAAACTAAAATGAAAACTTACATTTAAACATTTTCCTTTTCAGTATTTGGCCAATCCTAAATCACAAGTCCTTGCTATAATTGGGGCAGGGCACCAAGCCAGGAGTCACCATCAAGCCTTGTCAACATTGTTCAACTTTACAGAGGTACCGTACTTGTGATAAATATTTACAAAATGTCTTTTTTTTTTTTTTGCTCTGTCAGCGCTAACAACCCTAATTTTAGAATAAAGACATCCTAAAATCATTTTAACAGATAAAGAACAGAGTGAACCAACTGCATTTTATTATAGCATGTTTTCTACTGGTTTTTTAATAAGCCTTTTTTACACAAATTTAGGTAAACATATACAGTAGAACATTGGAAAGTGCAGAGAAGCTCTCCCAGGAGATAGGTAGCACAGCTAAGGCATGCAGCAGTGTAGAGGAAGCTGTAAAAAGAGCAGATATCATAGTAACTGTTACATTTTCCAAAGTCCCAGTGTTATTTGCAAAGTGGGTAAAACCAGGAGCACATGTGAATGGTAAACCAAAAAAAATTCTTAAGTACCTTAGGTGTGACAGTGAATATAAATTGTGATTATGCTGGGGTAGTATTACGTTAGTGGTTTTATTGAATGTTTACAGTGCCTTGAAAAAAAAGAGCTTTTATGAATACAACTGTTAATTCTATGATAGGGGGTAAATAGTGATGATACAATGTACCGGTATGTAGTAAAATGGAACAATAAATTTATATTTAGCAGACATTCTTAAACATGGTGAAAAACGTAAGGCATTCAAACAAAATCTCAACTTTTACAGTTGCCAAAGAAAAACTTTAATCTCACAACCCTAAGAAATTGCGTCTCTTCCAGCTGTAGGTGCTTGTCGTCCAGACTGGCAAGAAATTGACCCTGACTTAATGCGAGGGTCTGTATTGTATGTGGACAGTAGAGAAGGGGCAATGAAAGAGTCTGGAGATGTAATCCTTTCCAAGGTATGTACAAGTATTACATGTAAATGATTTAGCTATAATGAGGTGAAACAGCATCCCCATCAAGTTGTCCGTGTCTTTCAGTGGTGAATCCAGGATTTTGTTAAAGAAAGCAGGGGAACAAGGGGGACAAGGATTTGAATTTTTTCTGAGCAAAGTAAAGCAAATGTAAAAGAGTAGATGATGACAATTTTAATGTAACATTGGAGGGTGAAAGGGATGAAAATTGCTTGGTTTTGTTTATTTTGTTAACTTTTTTTTTTTGGGGGGGGGGTAGGGAGGGAAAAGGGTTATCTTTGAAGCTGGAGGAGGGGGTAATTAACATATACTGCACATACATTAGCAAAAACTGACGAGATGTAGCAGCATGTTATTTATACTGCTATACTGTTTTTAAATTTTGTCTACAAAGCATTTTTTCTACTCATGTAAAATTGCATCTAGGCCTGTATCTGTTAAATGATTGAAGTTATACCATTTAATTCTTTCTCCTTCCAAGAGTATGATACCAACCAGAAAATTAAAGTTAATTGAATGGTATTAATTATTGTTTTTTTTTTATTGATAAAAGGTTTTCAGTTACCTTTAACTGCATATGTATATCAAAATAGAAGTGGATAAAATAAAGGCTGTCAGAGTTTCTCTTCAGGCTGAAGTTTATGCAGAAGTTGGTGAGGTAGTCAATGGCACAAAGCAGGCCTTTTGTGAGAAAACCACAGTGTTCAAATCACTTGGTGAATATCCTTTACTTGTCTGTTGCACCATTTGTGCAAAAATTTGTCGATGTCTTTGTATGGCAAAGCTTACTGGTTTATAACATCCTGTATTGTGTGTTTATTCATTCAAAATGAGGTACATGTAGTAGTAACAATATATTGTTTGATATATATGCAATTTATTTTGAAAAAAGCATGCTTCTATTATTTGAATTAACATTTTTGAATTCAGGTAAATATTATTTTTAATTGCCCTTCAAATTCCATTGCCGAACTTGAATTAAAAAATGATATTTTTTAATATTTTAGGCATGGCTGTGGAAGATGCAGTGTCAGCAAACTTGGTCCTGGATAAGTTGAGAACAACATAAAGACACAAGCCAAGCCATCAAATAGAAAATGTGGAGTAAACACATTATCATCACAAGATATACATAAAATAGCAAAGTGATATTTCAGTGAGGATGAAAATAATAATCATGATAATATAATATTAGCAAAAGTAACAATAATGATAACAATATAACAGCAGGGCCCAATGCTGACTCATGTTTATTAAATATATGGCACTAGTTTGGGATGCTAAAGGGATAACAACTCTTCATACGAGATCTATAGTACACAATAAATACATTGTAAACAACTTACAGAAATATAATCTTATTTTATCTCAAAAAGGGCAGTTATAGCAATTAATCTGAAATCTGTGCTTGTCATTGGACCACGTGACCACCACATGGCTATACTCTGTAACAATTTCTTCAGAGTATTACAAAAAAAAAAAAAAAAAAATTGTGAGAAAAAAAACGGACTAACTTTGTACGTAAAGGATTCATTAACCATCGGCAAGTATGGAATATTGCCATTTATCCCAGGAAAAGTCATATTTTGGCCAAAATGAACAGTTGTTATCCTCTTAACATTGCTAATTCAAATATACTCTGAATGAAATGATGAACATAATTACAAGATTTTAATAAAAAATAAATAAATAAATAAATAAATAAATAAACCGAAGGAACAATAATATACTCTGATATTCATCATTTGTTGGTTGCTACTATTTCTTATCATGAGAATCGCCCGGAAGGAGTCACAGTCAGTGGTGTCAGGATAAACAATCTCCGCTTTGCCAGTGATACGGTTCTTCTAGCTACGTCGAGTGAGAATCTCCAAAATCTTTTTGAAAATCTCTTTGCTGCAATTGCCTCCAGCGCAAAGCTTGGATTATAGGTCGACTGCAAGAAAACAAAAACCATGGTGGTTTCAAAATCAAAGGCCACACCACTTTGCAGATTGCTTCACGGGAACACTCCCATCGACCAGGTCTCCTCATTCGACTATCTCGGGGCCCTTGTGACATCCAACACCTGTTACAAGACAGAAATCCAAAGAAGAATTAGTCAAGCAAAATGCCTTCACCCTTCTCAGCCAATCTTAAAGGATCGTTGGCTGTCCTTTAAGATAAAGATCCTCCTCATTCAAAACCTGTCTGGTCTCGTCTTCTGTATGGCTGCGAGTCTTGGAATTTGACAGCAGAAACACAGCGCAACATTGAAGCAGCTGAAATGTAGTTCTACAGGCGAATGATCCGAATCTCGTACATTGATCATGTTACCAATAAAGATGTCCTTACATGGTTTGATCAGAAAAGACAACTCCTCAATACTGTCAGAGATAGACAACTGAAAATCTTGGGTCATTCCCTCAGAAAAGAGGGATTGGAGAATCTTAGCCATAGTGGTAGAATGCCCGAGGCAGACAACAAAAGACCTTCCTTGACAATTCTGAATTACCAACAAGACACCTTTGGTCATGGGCGGGGAAACGGAAACCTTTGGCGAAATATTCTACTTCCACTAGATAGATATAAACTGTTATTAATGAGCGCTGAAATTTTAAGACTTTATATGCCAAGTTGTTGGTATACCTGAATTATTGTTAAAAAGTTGAAATATACAATTTTTGTAAATATATGTAATCCGATGTTCACATTTAATTTACAAAAAAGCAATCTTCAATTCTTCTGTTAGCGATGTATTTGACTTATGATTGAGAACGTAAATAAACACCTATGTTACAAAATGACATGAAGCAAATGGCCGTAAATCTGCCAATTTCTAACAATCAAAACTCTTTGGCGACTCCTTTATCTTTGTCAAACATGTAACTCGTTAGCTGCCAGTACCACTTTAAACACCCGGTTGGTAATGCAGGTCCTGGGCAGCCTCTAATAAAGTAGCCTCCGTCTCTCCGAACCTCCAGTTTTAAACATAAATGGTCATAGAGGCGAAAGTTACCGAATTTTGATATGTTACCCTTGTAATGAATATGCCGACTTTGCCTTATTAATTAATGTAATGAAAACGCTGTTTTATAACACACCATTTTCCAGATAATTTAAGAGATTCCCCTCAGCCAGAAAAAATTAAGTGTTTTTGTGGATTTTTTCTGGCAATATGACATTTTCACTCACTTTTATTTAATGTATAATTTCTGTGTATTCAGCAAATGCTTTTCACACAGCATTTATAATTATCTGTGAAATAATTTTGCGTATGAACAAGTCCTAAGCGTATTCTAATTTCATCAAAATCTAATTGATGTTTTTAATGCACGCATTTTATGTTCGGAGACATTGTTACCTATGTACGTTGGCTTTGCTGCCGCACTCTCTATGCTACAGACTGATCATGAAGAGTTGGTCATAAAATATAGTTCGTACATTGCTCGAGGACGTTCACAAAGGTCGCTTACGACAGTTTGTTTTATATATATACCGGTACTGTACTAGTACCTGTTATTGTTTAAGAGGGGTTTACATTTAATTTCCAATATGTATGCATCGCTCCACGCCCTGTGGATTGTTATACTACTGTTGCAAGTTGTACACGGTAAGTTTTGGACGTTGTACATGGTAAAGTTTGACAACAATAAGTAGTTTATACATGGGGAAAACTCTAGTCACGTTTAAAATTATATCAAGTGTTCACCATTTGTATGAGGCAAATTTCAGTCCTATGCGTGTGGCTGTGAATCTAAGGAAGTGTAAATCTTGTCAACAGTAAGTTGTGCGAAACTTTCAACATGCAAAATGGGACAGTGCGTTGTAAAATGTTCGTTCATTTGAGGTTATGTTTAGCTTTCAACTTAAAATGGCTGTGGAATGGCACTGAACGTATGTTTATATTTTAATTTGCGTCCTAAATGTCCTAAATGTAACGTTCAAGTAACGCTGAAAAAGCGATCCGTATTTCTTTCTATACAGTGTAGATAATGATTTATGAAGGTCCGTATGTCTATTTCAATTTATTCTCGATTTTCCCATGAAACCGGCGTAGCTACCGAATGAAACAAAACTGGGGCAGAAAGACTAGATATCTGATAAACAGGCCTTCCATAAGTGTCGTGACTTAGCACATAAAACTGCTTATAAAGCGCGCAAACGTATGCAACGCAGCAATGCCAGTTGAGTGTTATCTTGTTTGACTAGAAATGAGCAGCATAGTAATGTATAGGCCTAGCTAAACCTACGGCCTAGATGCCATGGTGGAACGGCGTTTCTCTACTTAACTGCTGGAAATGCATCACACCTCCAGGGCAAAGCGGAGGGACATATTACTATGTATAAAAAATTACAGGAATGCATAACAGCCAGCCAGCCAGACAGACAGACAGACGGACGGCTGACTGACAGACCCAACCACTGGTCCATTTTCTGTGCCGATTGTGTCTTGTATCATTTAGGCCTCCATGGGCAAAATACTAAAAATTTTACATATCAGGCCTATTGATAGTCGCATAAGATACCGGTATGTAGCAGATGTATGGGGCATATTCAGCGACATTAATACCTATTCGCACTGGCAATTTCGTCCGCGGTTCACGCTTAACCGCGGCTTTATCGGGGTTTACTGGACCGCGGTTTACTTGTTAGTGCAAATAGGATCATTTGTTAAAAAGAAAAAGAAAAATACGCTCTGGTTATCAATAATACACCAAACAGCTGTCGTCAGGTATGTCTGTTAATCACTGTTTCTGATCTTAAATGTAAGTATTAATGTTACAGGAACTGTGAAGCCCTGGATGTCACCGTTACGAGATTGTGTCATGGATACGTCACTACTAGTTGTGACATCAGCCGTGGATGAGAATTTAACACTATCATTTACAAGTGACGAATGCTACAAGGTATGGTGGAACATTACCTGTTTCATTGATTAGGTTTTTTCTTCAATATAAGGAGTTAACAAAGTGGAGTTAAATTATTTTGATGTTACAACGCATTAGGCCTATTTTTTATTCCACACGTTTATCTAAAATTTTTTAAAAAGCGCACGTAAAATACAAAAAAAAAAAAAAAAAAAGCCGCGAGTAGTTTAATTCATGTTTTGCTTTTTTCAGAGGGTGCCGTAATTTGTGCGTCCTGCGACATTTACATGACATAATATTGTTGTGTTTCAGTGCCCCTTTCAGTATGTTAGTGACGATAAAACATCTGTCATAATACCGCCAAAAAGCAACTCTAGTTTTCAAGTGAGCACCCACTTCCCAGTGACTTTGAAACTGGAGACGTCTGCCTTGCGCAACGTGTGCACGTGCGTGATTTAAAAGTGTCTTTTTTCGTGTTTTTGTCCTTTTTTTTGTCGGGCTGGTTGAGGAGGTGGTAGGGTTTGCTTTTGAAAAGGGGAGGCGGGCTTGTGCGTAGGAGTTCTTTTGATTAGTATAAATTGGCTAGCGTTGTAAGCTATATACTATGAATAGTGTAAAAAGACGAATGTATGTGATGGTTGCTCTTAGGTAATTAGCCAGTGATGGAATATTATATGTGATTCTTTTCTCTATGTCAATCCATGCAAACTCTATTCAATTTTAAAGCCTACACAACAATTTTATACAATAAATAATTTTACGCATTGAGTTTAACCGCGTACTCCTTTTCAGTCAATACTTCAAGTACGCAGAATGCGGTGTATATACTTTAAATGTTGTCTCCCTGTCACCCGACAACTTGACTGCAGGGACCTGTGAGCTACAAATAAATGCAGAAGGTCAAAACAGTGAAATTCGTAAGTGTTTAACAAATATATGCTTAGTGTGAACTTTGACGATTTAAACTATTGTTTTTTCTATACACTTCTTTTTTCAAATATTATAGTAAAGATACATCAGAAATAGCAAGTCTCAAGCCTCTATACTGGATAAATATTTTAATACCTGAAATTATATTGTCCTTCCGGGTGTTCCTTCTTCAGATGGTAATGGAAGACTATAATTTCGGATTTTTATCCGTGGTTCAAATCAGGAAACGGTCACATCATTTACCTTTAATTGTTTGATGCAAAAGACAACGTGTTGATAATAGGAATGATCTGTTCTCTGTTCTAGCCATCTACATTGCATTGGCCGTTCTGGTAGGACTTGCAGTATTGTGGATAGTCCTGAAACTTTTGATTTACAGGTAGGTGGATGTCAGTGTGCGCTTTTAAATAACTGCTTTTTTCTTCCTTTTTTTTCGTAGTGGAGAAGGAAGGGTTAAAAATTTCGATCGGCGCGTCTGCATGTTAAACAATGTAGACATTTGTTGACCAGTTTTGTTACTGAAAATTGAAGACTTAATTATATTTTATCTCTCGAATTACATTTTGAAATAACTTTGAATTTCAGAAAATGTGTTCGCCCCTTTATAAGAAAAACAATACTGAGAAAAAGGGAGGTGAGCGTATTCTGTTAAAGATTTCTTTTAAAACGTTCCTTGAATATGAAACTAACAATAAGCATTGGGCATTGTAGTTGTAACATGTATCCTGTTAAACAAAACTTTACACAATCCGTGATCTATTTTATGAGCACATACAACAATCCTTCATATTCAAATAATAAGACAAGTTTTCAAATTTAATGTTAAATATTTGATATTAATTTATATATATTGATGTATGTCATATAAACACATCTTTCAGGTGTCGGATCTGATAGAAGGTAAAAGCGCCGCCCAAAAGACCAGATTGATCTCTCTTGATACCTTTAGGGGGTAAGCGTCCACGGTAGGGGGATGTAGGGAGGTAGCATTCTGCACCCCCCTTTTCCAAACTACCTCTTCCCAATGAAAAAAAGAAAAAAACTCTTTAATCTCTGGGACCCGTATACTTAATATGGTTCAAACTGAACAGTTTAAACTTATTTTAATTTCATTCTCACATTCTCCCAAACCAGAACGTAAAGCACTCACCGCAATGAAAGGATTCGTTGGCCACAAAAGTGAGAAAAATCGTGAACAAACTGTTCAGTCTGTTTCAGTACAAAGTTGCGTCTTCCGATATATTAGGCGACGGTAGAACAATGCAATGTCGCTTAATTGCCTAACCCGTAAAATTTGCCAAATACGAACGACAACACCCATAACATGCATAAGGCTAAAAGATATAATACATACCACGCCAATACATAAAAATAAGTTGTATTATTCCGAAGTCAATTTTTCTGTCGACTTACGCACCTATGAAACAGAAGTATTAATCTCATATCAACGTGGAATGACGGTGTTTACTTTTCCAGTAATTGCAAAAATTGGGATTATACGTTAGACTTCTGAAAGTGTTAGATATGCTATACTAATTATGTGTTTTGCGCTCCAGTTCCGATCTCTTGTATTGTAATAAATTGACGGAAACACTTGATGATAATCCTGCGTAGTAATACATAGCTTTTTTAAAAAGCATTCTCGGTAAAATACAAAGCAAACGCAGAATTAGAACAACGGTTAAATCTAAAATTGACTTCGATCTGTAAACACATAGATACATCATTGTTAGTGTAAAATGACTATAAACTATCAAAAGTTATTCTTATTTTTTTTTTCAGAATATCTATCACACTGATGATATTTGTGAACTTTGGAGCCGGAAAATATTGGTTTTTGGAACATGCTATATGGCACGGGTTGAATTTTGCTGATCTCGTCTTTCCATGGTAAATAAATAACTTTGTAATTATCTTAATTCTATTATAGCTAGCTTTGATGTTATGATATAGTGCACAAATGTAAATATAGTTAAGCCCATGTGTCGTGAAGATGCCCATGTTTCATTGTTTAGCGTTGGTGGTAAAGTAGATACAATGTTGCAGTGTGTGAGGTGATATGTTAGTTGATGCAGCAGAGAGTAGCCTATTCTGCTATTTCGTGTTTGAAAAAGCTACTGAAAGCAAGGATTTTCATTTTAGTGAATGTACATAGATATAATAAATGAATATAGAATCATATTACATGCATTAGTGTAATACTTAACCTGTTTTTGTCAGTGTCATTTTTATTTATTTACCTGTTAATGTTAGTGTAATTGAAAGGCAGTGTAGAGCAAGATTAGCTTGATGTTTAAATGTAACCGCACATATTAGTCACATATGAAGATGGAGTTACCCTCGTATGTTTATTATTCCCTAAGGTTTGTATTTATCATGGGAACGGCAATGGCACTGACATTTCACTCCCTCAAGAAAAAAGAAGTTTCTTATGTTAAGCAGTTGAAGAAAATTGTCACCAGAAGCATAACTTTGTTCTTCTTGGGCATCGTTGGAAACACATGGTGGGCAGGTAAGAATTACATATGAGTAGTCAAGAACTTATTTTCAAAAGTTTCACCTGATATTCTTCAATTTGTGAATCGTGATGAGAGATTGTGTGACTTTTGTTTAAAACTTCTAATATCTTGTTGTAATCTCTGATGTAAAACACATGGCATACTTGTTTAATGGGATTATGTTTTACCATGCATAAACTTTGAACAGTATTTCATTTATATTGATTTTTACTGTAGTGACCAGAGTTGAAAATATTCGCATCCCTGGTGTGCTGCAGAGGTTTGCAGCCACTTACCTGGTAGTGGGTTTGGTTGACATGGTCTTCTCCAGAGTAAGTGCTGGTTCATTGGCGATGAGTGTTATAACGCAATTAGGAAATCTGAAAGTTACATGTAGGCCTTTACTTTTTTGTGCTATGACTTTATAGGATAAAACTGTTTATATTGCACAAATGCAGGGTTTTGTGGTTTGTACTCGAAGACACGGCAGGCTAGATGTCGCCAGTCATTTAGAAATAAATTATTTAATTAGAAATTGTATAAGACATTAAATCCAAGTGCAGGGATGGATCAGCAATTATTTATGAGTAGGATGATTTTTTTTTTTTTTTTTTTTTTTTTTAATTCAATTTGGCAAAAATCTGGGATAGGATTACTTTAACTCATGAATAGGGAAGAAATGTTCATTGACAAATATGAATATGATTTACATGGCTAATTGTTCTGTGCTTTGAAGGAGAAGATACTGTCACTGGTTGAAAACTAAAAAATTAAATAAAAAAAATATCCGAACCTGTAACTGGACATCAAAGATGTAGGATGTGTATTCAGTACTTAACAGCAAATTTATGTAATCTATTCTCTATATTTTTTTCCATTCGTTGTGAAAATATTTTCATGATATGTTTGTAGAAATTGGATCACAAAAGTGAAAATAAAGAGAAGCAGACTGGTAAAGATGAGGTAAGAATTAGTTCACATTTTGAAGATGATGTAAATCAAAAATTATTTAGAAATGATGTGTTGATTTCTACTAGTTATTTTTCATGTGTTTACTAGATTTCATATTATGGGCTGCAATGTACCATCTTTTTTCCTAGACAGTAAACATAACCATAAGGATAATATTTTATGAATTCCAAACCAGAAGTGGTGAGCATCAGAGCCCTTCCTCAGTCTCTCCCCCTCCCCCTAAAAAACAAATGTTTATCAGCTTCCTACAGAACAATCCATGTTTCATATTCTTCATGGAGTATTAAATGCTTGAGGGGAAAATGAGAGAATGCCCTTCTACCCAACCTCCTTCACTGACAATCTGGACCTGCAGCTACTTAAGTAATGTATTAATATAGGGAGACTGTATAATACATGTATTTTACTTGAAATAATCTCTTCCGACAGAAAAAATTGGATACCCGCCAATGAAAACTTGAAAATCTGACTGTCTTCCGGAAGACCCAGAAGACGCCCTAAATCCGCCCCTGACAGTGAAAACCATTTTCATTTTGTAAGAAGTCCAACTTAAAATTTTATTTTCTTTCTAGAATGGTTCCTCTCATGAGCTTAATGAGATAGAGACATCATCAAGCAGCAATGTCAAAGTAGAGCTTGGATCCAACATCATGTTGGATCCTTCGGTAGAGGAAGGGAGAGCAAAAAGGGTGATCATATTTTATTGTTATTTTAAACCCTTCAAAGGGCTTATAACCTTTTTTAAACTATCAGTTAACAAAGAAATGAATAATAGCTACATTAATAATATAATATAAGATATTAAAAATTAATGATAAAAGAAATATTTTAATGAAGTAACTTAAGGAGGCAGATGATAACACTTTCTGTGCCATTTTCAAGCAGCCATGTTGGTACCACATCACCGAGCTGGTGTTATATTGGCCTGAGTGGCTAATCTGCCTGGCATTCATTGCCTTGCATCTGGGAATAACACTGGGAGTTAAGGTGCCAGATTCAGACTGTCCAATGTATGTATGTATTTATGTATGTATGTATGTATGTATGTGTGCTATCACACCTAACACATCAATAGCACAATCAATACAATGATTCCTTTGAAAACTCACAAAGAAGACTGCTATAATTAGTCTCTTGTGCACACTGTTATATGTAACAAAACAAGTGATCACAAAGCCAAATGGACCTACTGCACATTGTTACACCTACAGGTGTATGTATACAAAAAAACATTATATCCTACCATCACAGCTAACACAATCCTTTATTGCACCACACACTTTCCAATCTTTTCATTTACACAGTATCACTTCTAAACATCTTGTGCTTTGTAGAAGTAGAATTAAAGCTTTTTTTTGTTTAATGAAATCGTTTAAGATTGTATCAGTCACCAATAACTTGGATCTAATGTGGTATATGAAACAGGTACTGCAGTACACACTTTTAGAGGTATGCAGTTAAAGTTTGTCCTTCATATAGAAAAAAAATCTGAAAATTTCAAAATGCTTGCTTCCTTAATCACCAAGGAATACAATATCTGAAACTGTTCACAAAATCACAATGATCC